ACATAGCACCTTTGCTTTCCACCATCCATCAATGGACGTATTGCTTGCACATTTCAATATATCTTTATACTGCACTCTTTTGATGTTTTAAAATATTATTAATAAGAGGTGTTTGTCTAATTGTCTGTCATTAATCCAAGTATAATTTGAAGAGCATATACACCAAGGCAAAATAGGAAGTCTTCAGTAAGTTATCATAGAATTTCTCTGCCATAAATTTAACTGGCTCCTGCTGAGTAAAAAAATGTGAAATTACTTCTGTAGTGGAAGAGCTGTTAGCAGGATAATGCTGTATTTGTATGTTTTAACTATGTTCATTCAGTTTTGCTTGTATTTATAAAGGTAATAAAGATACTAGATAAGTTTACTAGATTTATTTATAGATTTATGTAGCATGTTTATATGTAATTTTAATCTTACTTCACGTTTTATTTTGGCATTGAAATTGATTAAAATACCTCTATAGAACTTTGAAAGAAAAATCACCATTACCATCCAATATTATTTAAAGCATTCCTTAACAAATTTGAGATTTTATGCCTTAAATGCTTAAGGTTACTAAAACATTTCCAAAAGTTGTCTATTGGCTTTTAAATGACTTTGTACCAACTTCATTTAAATTTTTCATTTAATTTTCATTATGCTGCGGATTATTACTGATTTATAATTTCATTATGTTTCAATATTAAAAGATGTCCTTATTACAAATGACATGTTATGCACACTGCTATGCTTTTTTTCTAGCTCCTTCAGCTACTTGTGATAAAATCCTTTCTATTCATCATTATAAAAAATACATCTTAGATTAAAAAGTAATCAACAGAATTATACATGGGATGGAAACTGACAGCTTTTGATGGCTTTAGCCTGGCCATAGCTCTTCACGTCAATGTCCGTTTTCTGGATTTTGTTTTGAATACTTCTTCATATTCCTCATTGCACGGTTTCGTGTAGATGTAGGTCTTCTGGAGAAGATTTCTGTAGATGGCATTGAAAATGCACATAGAGTGTGCATAGCACATCTGAGACCCTGCCCTTCAGAAAGCACAGAACATGTACTAGAAGTACAAAAACCTCAAAGCGATTAGGGTATTTAAGTGATTTATTGATAAATCCATATTTAATAATTGATTAATGAAAATGATGGCACAATTTGGTGACACAGAAAGCTCACCCTAGCAAAGTAAGGAATGGAAGAATAATTAACCGCATGAAAAGTAGCGAGGAGAAGCAGATCTTAGAACGCGCGTCTTCATGTTCACGTTACAAGGCTTGAAAATGCTTTCTTTGCTTTTTAGTGGTTTTCTTTAGTTTGTGGAATATCCCAACGTGCTAAATTCACAAAATCTAGAATAGGAGGAAACTCTATAAACAATGCGCGGCTCTGTCTATCGTTGGTATTTTCTTTACAAACGAAATTTCAAGAACGAGGGTAGCCGCACAGACCAGGGGGGCCATTCCGCGCTCCAGGCCGGGCAGCGGTGTTTCCCATAAGAGCATCAGCAGAGGAGGGAGGGGACACTCCGGAGCGAGAGCGGGCGGCCGGGTCAGCAGGGACTCCTGTGGCTGTGACAGTGCAGGAGCTGGTCTGCGAGTGTGTGACTTGGGCTTCCCAAGAGCTGAGCCTAACGGAGAAAAACCACAAGCCAGGCTCGTGTCAGGAGCAACGGGATTCAGGAAGTTGACCTCTCTTGCTTCTAATCGCAAAAACAGCTCTTTCATCACTTTTACTCACCAGGGCTCAAGCTCTGAAATACAATTTCAATTTTCTAAAGAGATTTCTATGACGATCTATCCTCTATAGAGTAGCAGTAAAGAAACCCAGAATTACATAGTGCTGTTAAGGAAGCTGCTGTTCTGATTTACACCCTGGTACTCGCTTAACCATTAGCAAAGTCTTAGGTTGTGTGTATGTGAATTTCCAGAGACAGTTTCTGATAGAGAAATTATTAGTTTTTACATTAGGAAGACTAGATGCAATAAAAGTTTTGGTGATTATTTTGTTACCCAACAAACGAATCAAGTTTTTATCATTTCGTGAATATGAGCCTTTAGGAGTAGTATGAGGTCAGATCAGGGGAAAGATGGGAAATAAGAAATTCAGATTCCAAAGAAAAAGACTTGTCCCCTGTCTACCTCATCCTGACTTAGCAAGTTCATGTAATTTTTGTGAAGATAAAATAAGATGTGAGGTCTTTGAAATGCGTGAGCTTCTGTACAAATATGAGTGGGCATCAGGGACCTAGGAAATGAATCTCTGTTAGGAAGGTGCGTTGATTTCATGTACAGATACTCTGGCATTTCCAACCCCAATAATCCATTAGACGCTCTGGATTTCTATCAGCTATTTATAGATGACAAGATAAACTTTGTGTCTGGATTCAGTGTCTCCAAATCAGTTCTTATCTATACTGCCAACAAGGACTATTCTCAGGCACATGAGCCTTCATACACCTGGCATAAGTGTCAAGACCATCAGAAACCGCTTCCTTAGCCTACCAGACATATTTCATGGGGCTAGGATTTTCACTTGATGTTATTTTATCAAAACTGGCTGGTAGGGACGTCATTGGATGGATCAGGTCATGGTGTGCTATTGATGGCAGACATATTAAATATTATTGTGTTTCCTCAATAGGATAAAAATAAAAACTAGCCTCAGTGCCTGTAGTACAGTGGTTACAGCACCAGTCACGTACACGGAGGCTGGTGGGTTCAAAACTGGCTGGGGCCAGCTAAATGACAATGACAACTGTGACAAAAAATAGCCGGGCATTGTGGCAGGGGCCTGTAGTCCCAGCTACTTGGGAGGCTGAGGCAAGAGAATTGCTTAA